TCATGGTCACGCTTGTACCAATGGTCATCTTAGTTATGGTTGACCATTGGTCAAGCTCTTCATGGTCACACTCGCAACAATCTATGGTCACGCTTGTACCAACCATCTTATTTATGGTTGACCATTGGTCAAGCTCTTCATGGTCACTCTCGCACCAATGGTCATCTTATTTTATCTCAGTAATTCCTTCATGTCAATATAGTCAACAATGGGGTTCATCACCAAATACTCAACAATGGGATCCTACATATGCTGTTCCACAATGGGGTTCATCACCGACCACTCATCAATGGGGTTCATCACAAGATGCTCCACAATATATTCCTCCGAGCAATGTTCAACGTGGATTTTCCCTAGAAACAGAAGTACGAACTACAACAAATCAAAAGGAAGATCATGTTTCTGAGAATGTTGCCAGAGGAGTATCACCAGAATTTGGTTTCACAAACTATGCTTCTACAAGTAAAACATCACGTCCAAGAAGAGGAGGGTTATTCAACATAGAGGATCTGAACGAGAACTAAATCTAAATGAAACACATGAAAGTGATTCCACATCAGATAACTAGTTTAATATGATTTGTGTTTTGTTAGTAATGGTTATGATTTGTTTCAAATTATATTTTGTAATTTCTGTTATTGTATTATATTTTGATTAATGGTACTTTTCATTGATTAAGTCTTTATTTTCTGATAAAAATATTTTCAGGCTTTTCGTATATGTCAGTTGCGATCACAAAATCCCCAAAGTCTAACTCATGATGAGAGAATTGAGTTATGGAATCTGGAAAATGAGCAATTTGAAGAGTTAATAATTCAATCATCACTGAGTTATTATAATCGTTATTTTGAAAGAGGACCAGTTCAAACCGGTGGCGGTTTAGGGTGGAGAAATATTTGGGGTCGATTACAAGTAGATGCTGCTGCATGTCTTCAGTTACTACGAATGTCTCTGGATGCTTTTAGATCTCTTTGTGACATATTGCAATCAAAATATGGTTTTCATCCTACGATGAATGTTAGTATTGAAGAGAGTGTAGCAATGTTTTTGCAAATTTGTGGGCATAATGAAGTTCAAAGAGATGTTGGGTTATGGTTTGAACGGACACAAGAGACAGTGAATAGAAAGTTTTTTGAAGTTCTTAGAGCGATGGAGTTACTAGCTTGTGATTATGTCAAGACTCCAACAAGACAAGAACTACTTCGAATTCCTGAAAGACTGCAAACAGACAGAAGATATTGGCCATATTTTAGTGGATTTGTTGGAGCTATGGATGGAGTTCATGTATGTGTTAAAGTGAAGCCTGAACTACAAGGAATGTACTGGGATCGACATGATAGGACATCGTTTAATATCATGGCAATATGTTATTTAAATATGTTGTTTACATATGTTTGGAATGGAGCACCCAGATCTTGTCATGATACAGCAGTTCTCACGATGGCACAAGACAGTGATTCTAATTTTTCTTTGCCTCCACTTGACAAGTATTATGTAGTAGATTCTGGATATCCAAATAAGCGAGGTTTTTGGCTCCCTATAGATCTTCTCGGAATGGGGTTATTAGGTATCATGTCTCATTTCAACAACGGTCCTCCTCCTAAGAATAAACAAGAGTTGTTTAATCGATGTCATGCATCTCTACGTTCTGTTATTGAAAGGACATTTGGAGTTTGGAAGAAGAAATGGAGGATTCGGAGTGATTTTCTCAGATATGATATTGCAATTCAAAAAAGAGTGGTAACTGCTACAATGGGACTACACAATTTCATCAGAATTTCAAATTATTTCGATGAGGATTTTGTTAAAATAATGGGAGACACAAATTTCAGCAACGAAGATTCTGAAAGTGATCCTCGTGATTTGGAGACAACAAATATGGTTGATGGAAATCATATGATGAACATTAGAGACAACATCGGAGATATGTTATGGGCAAATCATTAAATTATTGTACTTTTGTTTATGTATTTTTTCATTATGTATTTTGATATTTTGATGTAATTTTTATTATTAAAATACCTCCATTTTTTGAACTGCTTTTACCATTCATAACTTCTAAAATAACTTGTTCTGCTTGATCTACATCTCTCATGCATGATTCGCTTGATCTGCACTTGTCCTGCTTGATCAGCATGATCTGCTTGATCTGTCCTGCTTGAACTGCTTTTACCATTCGGAACCTTAGAACTAACTAGTTACATTAAGCTTTTTAAATTTAAGGGTTACAAGGTAGAGGATCAAAGAGAGAATGGATAAGAACGATACAAGAACCCTTGTGAAATATGCAGCTCTGGTCATTGTTTTCGTCGCCCTGGTGTTAATAGAAGAACCTACAAGCATTCCTGTATGTAACATCAACGCAAACACTTTGGAAAAGTGTCGTTCAGCAGTAACCGGAAACAACCCGCCGCCTCCAGGTGAAGCATGCTGCATAGTCCTCCAAGCTGCTAACCTCGAATGCATCTGCAAGTTCAAATCTCACCTCCCTGTTTTAGCAACCAAGTCATCTAAAGTCCCGGATCTTCTGAGCAAATGTGGCATTACAACAGTCCCTCCTGCTTGCCAAGGTAAAACCATAGTATCATAGATGTATTGAAACCCACTAAGCCTAGTAGTATCTGAATATAAAGTAAAAAAAGTAAAGCCTTACTTTTCTTTAGCTGTTCTTTGCAGCTTCGAAGAACTGAGGTGGAGACAGAGCACTCTACTTGATCTGAAGTCTCGGGATTACAATATAACTTAATTTTCTAATCCAAAATAAATCATAAGCTTGTAACGATCTTTGACCACCTTGTGTGTATATAGAAGAACCATTGTATACACATTAAAGAAAACGATATAAAAAACTGGTTTCTCACTACATACTCTCTTGAAAACTCAAAAACATCAACTCATCATGCCTTCCCTGCTGAGTGCTGACAACTCAAACCATAAACTGCAAAAAGAAAAAAACAAAGAATTATTCGGTTATCTTGATGAATACATCATCTGAGTAGTTACTTGTGGCAACAATATATGGAGATTATATTTAGTCAAGAAAAAAAAACAATACATGGAGATTATACCTAGCATTCTGGTTGATTTGCTGGACGAGGTCCACCAAAGACAGGCCTCATGTAAGTATCATCAAACTTTCTCCAGTAGCGGTGGATGGTGTAAACAGGTTGTTCGATCAGAAGGGTGAGACTATCTTTAGCTCTGCTTAAGTTAGTAGAGGTAGACTCGTCAAAGGAGAGAAGAGGAAGCGTCGCATCTTCCTTAGGGGAACCTGGCGCTGACTGTTTATCTCTATTACCAGTGTTGTGACTTTCATCGTGAGGAAGAAGATAGTTCACAAGTGGCTTTGTTAGGAAACCAAAGACCTGTTTTTTCGTTACATGACAAGAAGACAGTCTTAATGAGTCTTTTTATATATAAAAGCAGGGGAATATACTAATAAAGTGGTGTTTTGTTGTACCAGTGTAGTAAAGAGGACAACGATGGTGGTGTTGGTGACCATGGCAGCATTTAGAGGATCCAATGTAACACCCGAGAATGTGAACTTAGCACATCAAACATATACCGTTATGTGATTACAATGAAACCATCAACGTAAAAGCATTATCGTAGAGACTTTATGAATGTGGAAACGAGCAAAAACCTGCTTGAAAGCCAGAGCAATTGAGACAGCACCTCGCATTAGCCCCGCCCACCAAATAATCACCTATAAGGAGTCATATAGTTTCAAAGACTTATGTAGTCGAGATATTGTGTTTTCTGGTAATGTAACTGAAGAAAGAAAAAAATATAGAGAGGGCTAAAACCTGGTGCTTGAATGTGATAGTCTCGCTTCTTTGAGTGTTTCTATTCATAAAATTAGTCAAGACCGAGAGTGGAAACACAAACGCGGCTCGTCCGAGCAATACTAATGCGGTTATGACACTGGAGACTTCCAAAGTACCCGCAACACTACAAGAAGAAGAACATTAATGTTATAATAATAGTCTTCATTAGAATGATAGAAAGAGATTTTAGCTTAACTTGCAGCTAAGAAGAGCATTTATACCTTAAGCTGCTTGTCTTCCACTTGGTAAAATCAAGAGCATCTGTCCCAACATATAGAAATATGAATGTCTCGGCAATAAAAGAAAGCATCGCAAATACGTGCCTGCTAGAACAGAGATGGATTGTCAGAAAAAGAAAAAACATTGCTTGCTATTGAGACTTGAGTGAGAACAAATAATAATAATTGTCTGAAACAATTGCCTGGAAGTGATTCTTGAACTCTCTGTCACGTTATATGATGCATAGTGAGACATCAAAACCCCACAGAAGAAAACAGTGAGAATCCCACTTAACGAGAAGAGCTGCAAGAAAGTAACTTCATTTGTGTCAAAACAGACAAAGACAGCATCTATTTGATTCCTGTCCGAAACCAATGAAGATATTACCTCAGCCAACATATATGAAAGGTAAGCCATTAAGACCATGATCGCGAGCTCACGTGTGGTTGAGTGTCTGTCAGCAACAATATTAACAGAGAGATCAATACAAAAGGCACATAATCTTAGAGTTGAGATGAAGAAGTTGAAAGTTTGGTGTTACCTTCCAAAATACAGAGCTTTAAGGACAAAAGACGTTACTAGCCCCACCTGCAAGACATTCACACTAAGTATATGACATGCTTCAAAGAGAGTGAAAAATATATGGAAACTCAGTTTAGCATACACCGATTCCGAGGACTGTGCTTGTGGCGAAGAGGTACAAAAAGTTTCCAAATACTCGTAGAGCCGTCAAACCGTTGATGCTTTCAAAATGAATCTTTTGAACGGCGTTGAAGAGTACAACTGAGGTTGCGTCATTCACAACTCCTTCTCCAAAGACTAAGCTGTATAGTAATGGAGTCTCATCTTGATGGAGAATCTATAAAGTTTTAACATGGAATGTAAACAGCAAAGCTGTCTTATATTAAAGAAAAAGCTTTAGAAGAAGGAATCTTTAAGAAAATCAAGAACCTGTAGAGTGCAAACAGTATCAGTTGAGGAGAAAATCGTTCCGATAGCTGAATCAAGAAAAGAAACACATTCACTCTCAGGCAATAGATGAAAAGAAAGAATATGCAGATAAAAGATAAGACAAGATCTCACCAAGATAGTCTCGAGCAGTTAATCCTTCAAATCCCAACTTGGGAAACAGCCACCAAGTGCCTGGTTCAGATTATGATTTATAAGTTTGAATCATGTTTGTTGTCAAGTCATACAATATTTGATGAATTTTAAAAAGATTTACCAAACGAAATAATGGTAGTTGAGATGAAAACACCAATCACACCAAACGACATGATGGTTAAAAAGTTGTGAAAAAACTTCTTTTTCCTGACTTGGAATCTGCCACAAACCAAAAACCATAAACCTTCACTCAGTCTCCATATGGTAGTACATAACCTTATCACCACAGCATAGTGATAAATAATTAAGAGAAAGCTTACCCGGCATTGAAAATGATTGGAGGGAGAAGGTAAATGAAGAAAAGCTCTTCATCAAACACTAAAATGTGTGAACTCTTTCCTTTACTAATAAGTAATATAACTGTTCCTGACGCAGCTCCCTGTTTGCATTAAACAGTCAACAATAGTGACAATAACATCAAAGAAAACGCCGGTAAAACCGTATGTTGAAGCAACAACTTACAACTAAAATGGCTGTAATGGATTCATTAACCCAACGATTCTCTTCAAGTAAGTGGCCAATAACGAAACAGAGGCAGAGGATGGCGATGAACACAGATATTGGTATCACCTGAGGATGCTCCGTAGCTAGTTCTATCGATAAAAACTCCGTTAACCCAACACCCATTTTCACACGCGTTAAAGAAAAAAAAGAAACTTTAGAGATAATCTTTTTCGCTTTCGTCGATTATGGACACCAATCGCAAAACAAAGAAGGCACAGAGAACTAGAGAGAGACATGGTCAGAGTGTGAAGAGATTTGAACTGCGTTAAACAAGGCGGTCGTTACATGTGGCGCTAAATCTACACGTAGCTCTTTCCTGACGTCATCAGGCTGAGTCAAACGTGGGACCTTCTTCTTTTTGGGTTATATTTCATCGTGGGCTTTTTAGGCCCACACATATCAAAAAAAGAATTGCAGTTTATTTAAATTATTCACTTTTTCAACAACCTCCATTATAGTCGGTCGATTAATCATGTTATTGTAAAACTCAGAAAGTAAATAATTATTACGAAGATCTGTTTTGTAAAAACTCGAACCAGTTGCTAGATAGAATAGAAGAAGAAAAATCGATTATCATTTACAAGAGTGTTAATGTTTGGTATGGATAGATGCAGCCCAGAATAGGTCCACGCACGCGGCACGTGAGTGTTTCTTAAGCTTGTCTTTTGGATGATGTCATGAGTCACGACTCACTGACCAATATTGCCATCATGCCATGTGGGTTCTTGACCGAACATGTTGGGGGACCCGCCTTACCTTTTATTCAATCATCCACCGCCATCTCAACTTATAAACAATGGCGTAGTGAGTGAATTATCCGTTGTACATTTCGATTGCATGCATATTCTAGTAGTGCACGCTTATAGTAATAATAATAAATAGGTCGTTATAAATGCATAATGCAATAAATATTTTTACATTATATTATAAATATTTAATTTTAATAATAATATATTATTTTGTTTATTAATTTCTAATAATTTTAGATTAATAGCATTTTAATAAGTACAACTAATATTTTAAAGTTTATAATTTATTATTAATTAATAAAAAATACCTAAAACAAACTTCAAATAAAATCTTTTAAAATTTTTATTTTTCGAAATAGAGAGTATTTGAAAATTCACAAAATATGCCAATTAAAGTTAACTCTAACAAAATATAACATGACATTTAAAAGTTTTCAGATAGATTCTTTTAAGCTCTTACATTGTGATCGCCAATGGGCGTTGATCGTTTACTCCCAACATTGATTCTGTCTGCAAATATAAACAGAGATTTTTGGTTGTAATAATAAAGATAGTTTCTGGGTTTTTAATTAATTGGCTGCCAGCTAATTAGACATTAAATGATTTTTATTTTATTTTTGCTTTTTAAGTGGAAAGTGTGTCAAAAAAACAATACGAAAATGAAAAGTTGGAAGTTTTTGTTTTTCGTTTTCTAATTTAAATAATCAACGATCATATAAATAAGAAGAAGAATCCCACAAACCCAAAAAGCTCTTTTTCTTCTCTCTCTTCTTCTTCACATCAAAGCAAATCTCGCTCCTTCTCCGAGAAAAACGAAGTTGGTGAAGTCGCCGCCTGGATAACTCAGGTTTTACCGATGACAACGTACATGCGACACAAACCATCTATGTTTGGGATACAAGCTTCCAAGTTTCTACTCTCTGCTCTCATCTTGATCCAGCTGCTAGCTACACAACTCCTTGCTCAAAGATCTAAATCTCCATGGCAAACCCTCACTGGTAAACTTCTCTATCTTTTCACCTCCACTGATACTCTGACTCGTGCTTCCTTTCTCACTCTCGATCCAGCTGTTTCATGGACTTTGCTTTCTAACTTTGATCCGTTTCTTGATTACCACCTCTTTCTTGGTGTGTGTAGGAGACGCTCCTCTTATCATAGCTCGTGGTGGATTTTCTGGGCTGTTGCCAGATTCAAGTGTCGATGCTTACAGTATCGTATCTCAGACAAGTGTGTCCGGTTCTGTTCTATGGTGTGATGTGCAACTTACCAAAGATGGAGTTGGGATCTGCTTTCCTGATGTAAAAATGATGAATGCTTCTAGTATCCAAGATGCTTACCCTAAACGGCAAAATACTTACCTGGTTAATGGAGTCCCTACTCAAGATTGGTTCACCATTGATTTCACCATGAAGGATCTCAAAACCGTTTTCTGTAAGTTCAACGTCACTTTCTGACATCTTTTTGCTTTGTTTTGTTTTTTTGCTGTTATGTATCTCTGTCACTAGGAGGACCAGTTTGGGTGTCTATTTTAATCCATTGGAGATTGGACTATTGTTGGATTCTAGTTCTAGCAATGTCTTATGTTAATTGTTGGTTTATATATGTTTGATTGTTTATTTTTTCATCAAACGCCATGTTTGATGGTTAAAAGATTTTCTGATACCAATTAAATGTATATTTTGATTTTAGAAAATTGACTGTCAGCTATACCAAATATAGACCATGGTCACAGATCTAGACAATATTAATGATTCTAGTTTTACCAATGTCTTATGGTTATTGTTGGTTTATATATGTTTATGGTTAAATTTGCTTTGATCCTAATATGTATATTTTTTGACTTTAGAAAATTTATTGTCAGCTATACCCAAATATAGGTCATGGTCACACATCTAGACAATACTGATGTATCATTTATTACACGAAGGATATGGTGGTATGTATCAACTGCTATGTAGTTATTACCAGTCATATTTTTTTGTTGCCAATTCAGACGTCAGAATCCATCAAAGCAGTATTAAAAAGACATTTCCCAAAATAGAAAACCGATTCGATCCAATTTAACTCCGTTAATGACTGGTATAAACTATACAGTTGTAAGTGTTAAGGATTGAGATAAAAATTTAGAGAACCCTTTGATGTTGTTATATCCTATTTGCTTGCTGCTGTTCATTCATTGGTCATTTTGGTTGTATTTTCCTTTACAAATCGTTTTCCAAACTGTGCAGTGATCCGAGGAATATTATCACGATCAGATGCATTCGACAACAACCAGTACGCCATTTCAACAGTTCAAGATATAGCTGTGGAGTTGAAACCCAAAAGTTTTTGGTTAAATGTTCAGGTAATTCTTATGTCAGTAAGTTTGTTTCCTTATGTAGTGAAATATCTTAGCTCACTCTAACACGGCTACTCTTTTTTTTTATCAGCACGACGCCTTCTATGCTCAACATAACCTCAGCATGAGCAAATTTCTCCTATCAATCCCCAAAACCGTGACTATTAACTATCTATCTTCCCCTGAGGTTAATTTCCTACAGAACATCGGTGGCCGCTTTGGTAAAAACGGTCCAAAGTTTGTGTTCAGGTTCCTAGAGAAAGATGATGTTGAGGTGTCAACTAATCAAACCTATGAATCTCTCATGGGAAACCTAACTTTCATCAAGACGTTTGCTTCAGGCGTTCTTGTTCCAAAGTCTTACATATGGCCGCTTGAAGACCAGTACTTGCTTCCACCTACATCCTTTGTTCAAGATGCTCACAAAGCAGGTTTAGAAGTATACGCATCAGGCTTTGCAAATGACTTTGATATGGCATACAACTATAGTTTTGATCCATTGGCTGAATACTTATCCTTCATGGACAATGGAGACTTCTCTGTGGATGGATTTTTATCTGATTTTCCATTAACTGCATCTTCTGCTGTTGGTAAGTGAATGTCTTCTACTATATCAGTTCACATCTCCAAGTGAAAATCAATTTCTCATTTATTTATTTTTCTTATTCCTCAGACTGCTTCTCCCATCTTGGAAGTAATGCTTCAACACAAGGTATGTTATTAAATTAATGTCATGTCAAAGTAAACTAATGGTATGCAAAAAGTTTCATCTTCTATATGGTTGTTCATGTCACAGTGGATTTTCTTGTGATATCCAAAAATGGAGCAAGTGGAGACTACCCTGGCTGCACTGACTTGGCCTATTCAAAGGCTATCAAAGATGGTGCTGATATCATCGACTGTTCTGTTCAAATGTCGTTGGATGGGATCCCATTTTGCTTAAACTCAGTTGATCTTGGAGAGAGCACGAACATTGTCCAAAGCCCTTTCAGAAACCGTTCGGCAAGTGTTCCTGAGATTGCTCCTCTTGCTGGATTATACAGCTTTAGTTTGACATGGTCTGAGATTCAGACCTTGAAACGTAAGTTTCCCATATAACTTTCTAACTCTTCTCTCCTTTCTTCTCCAGCATTCTAATTACTCTAGAGAGCTTTTCTTTGTTCCTTCATATGTTTTGCAGCTGCTATTACAAATCCCTACAACAGGGACTTCAACTTGTTTAGGAACCCGAAGGAGAGAAGTTCCGGGAAGCTTGTTTCGCTTTCTGATTTCTTAAACTTGGCGAAAAACTCCAGCTCTCTTGCTGGTGTTTTGATCAGCGTGGAAGTAAGTTTCAACCATCACTTAAAAGTCTTAAACTAATGGATGCTAATACTTACAAACTGACTATGTTTGGTTTCATTCAGAATGCAGCATATCTGAGAGAGAAGCAAGGTCTGGACATTGTCAAAGCCATTCTCGATACACTCACCAAATCTGGTTACAGCAACGCAACAACAACAACCAAAAAGGTTATGATTCAGTCAACCAACAGCTCAGTCTTGGTAGACTTCAAGAAACAGAGCCGGTACGAGACAGTATACCAAGTTGAAGAAACAATCCGAGATATCCTCGACTCTGCAATCCAAGACATAAAGAAGTTCGCTGACGCTGTTGTGGTCAGAAAACCATCAATCTTCCCAGTCAGCAAAAGCTTCACCACTGGACAAACCAATCTTGTTGAGAGGCTACAGAAGTTTCAGCTTCCTGTTTACGTTGAACTGTTCCGCAACGAGTTTGTTTCTCAGCCGTGGGACTTCTTGTCCGATGCAACCGTTGAGATAAACTCTCATGTTACTGGAGCTGGTATCAATGGAACCATCACTGAGTTCCCTCTTACGGCCGCGAGATACAAAAGTAAAGTGAAAAAAAAAAATCAAAAAGAATGTCTGAAAATGTTTCTTGTTTTTGTTTTTTTGAATCTTGATTGTGTTTTTTCATGTTCTTTCTCAGAGAACAAGTGCTTGACACGCAGAGAGTTGCCTCCTTACATGGCCCCGGTTCAGCCAGCTGGTCTCTTATCCATAATGAGTCCTACTTCATTACCTCCCGCTGAAGCACCAAACCCGGTTTTCACAGATGCTGATGTTACTGAACCACCACTACCTCCTGTCATAGCCAGAGCCCCAACGACCAGCCCTGGACCCTTATCAACCGGTGAAAAAGCTCCCAATGGACAGACCCGTGTCGCTCTGTCTTTTCTTCTTTCTGCATTTGCTATGGTTCTGGTCTCTCTTCTACTTCTGTGATCACATTGATCTGATCCATCCTCAGATATTTTATTTTCCTTGTAATAGTTATTGGGATTCTCTGCAGTGATGAGTTTCTGGTTGTTCATATTCTTCGTTGTATTTTTAAGCATTCATTTGTATCATTGGAATTTGCTGTTGTAACATTATTCACTTCAGTTTTCTTTAAAACTTGTGTGCTTTGTAGTATTTATGTAATCCTGTCTTCTTCTTTTTTGATACATAAAATTATTTAAATCTGCATAACTCCGATCTAATTGAGTTTTCAACTTTCAAGTCCAATTCATTTGATGAATAATATGTACTAAGATCAAATGCTCCTAATGCGAGGTTAACATTTGTTTCCACAAGCATCATCATGTTAAAACTATTGAAGCAATACTTACTTTTGTCGTGTCTCACGATTTTGTAACAAAATAAGATTATGTAATAGCACTCCATTACAGTCTTGATATAGTAGTTGATAATCTGTCTCTTTTGTGGACAAGGTGACGTCTCCCTAGACCATCTGAGTATCTTGTATATGTAGTTTTGACCTTGCAGTCACGTAAGTTCTGCTGGTTTATCGTGGACGGAGATTGTATAATCTTTTCGTGACTGATGAAGTGAAACCCATATTGTCCTTGATCTGTTCTGGGATTCTGTAATCAGGATCTACAAGACTGTCATCATCATCAGTTATATCTGTATCAATCCAAGAATTCCAATCAACCTCGCTATCAGTATCTTCATCCCACGAGATCTCTCTTTTGCTTTGCATGCTGTTAACTTTATCAACTAATCTCAAGAGAATGTTGTGGTTTAGTACTTCATAGTCCCTGCATTTTCAGTCAAGACAAGAGAATAAAACATCAGCGTTTGTGTGTTTTTGCTTTGTTTCATAAATGAGTATGTTAGATCATTTTACCTGTATGTAAAAGCAGCATGAAGAAGCTGAGCTGAAGCAAGAACCGCGAATAAAGACCTGAGAACGTTTATAACCCATGCTCTGTGTTCTGCATCATTCACATAACGTAAACTTGCCACTTCTAATGCTAAGGTAACGCACAAACCTGCATCATCGAAATGAGAAAAAAAATATTATATTCATAGCTATGGTATGAGAAAGAGAGATAGGAGTATGATAATACTTACCAATGTAAAGCCTTGGCCTTATGGTATAAGTTTGCTTTGTACTTGTGAACATGTAGATCACAAAGATGGACAAGAAGTAGATGAAGAAAGCTTTTAACACCCTAGACTCTAAAAGCATCGCATTGTGCAAAGCAAACAGCTTATCCAACGCCACAAACATGCTTGCTTGTTTAGCCTCAAACGCTTCCTGTGCTGCCAACATTGATTTTGAATTCTCAAACAGGTGATCATGAACCTTTTGAAGCTGTTCTTGCCTCTTCGCAAGATCTTCCTGTTGCTCCTGACTAAACTCCGCAAAACGTTGCAGTGTACTCCTACTCTCTTGCAGTGCCTCGCTCTGAAACTGGTTAAGAGACTGTATACTATCAATAGCCACAGATTGTCCTTCCAAGAGCTTCTGCTGTTTATCCAACGTATTGTTAGTCATTGTTCCGATGATACTGGTTTGATTCTCCAAGGCAGTCATCTTCTCTGTCATCTTTTCTCCAAGTAGATTTATCTTCCCACCGATCTGCTTTGTGTCATTCTTCAACTTATCTACACCTTCCTTGACGTCAGTGACAGATTCAGTGAACATCTCCATTCCAACTTTCATGGCTTCTCCCATCTTCTCTTGGCCTTCCCTTAACGCTAATTGTGACTCAGTGATGCTCTTTTGTTCTTGATAGATGTCTTTTGTTTGTTGTGACACACCACTCATCTGAGTTCCTATTGTGTTTGTCGTGTGAGCCACGTTTTTAACCACAACATCTATTGACCCAACAGATTCATGAATCTTGCTGGTGCTCTGCAGTATATCATCTGATTTACTCTCTAAGATATCAAGTTTCTCTTCAGTGTTTTGTGCTGATCTCTTTAAATCATTCACAAGTCTCTCTATCTCATTCTTGAGTGCATGATTCCTACAACAAGAAAGAAAATTTAGAATCCATTACACAATGATCGAGAAGACAAAACTAAGAACTTACTGTAGTTGTTGGCAGATGGTATTGGTCTCAAGCATGAACTCAAGATAGATCTTATGCTCATGATCATCAAGCTTCTTGAGACAGCTCATCATTGTTTGTTTATCATTACATGTGGGAAAATCTGGCCTTCCTGATTCCTTCTGAAAGCAATCGCTCAGATGCCAAGCAAATCTCTTCCTCTGTTCTTCTGTAGCAACCATATCTTTGCAACCACTTAAGAGGTAACCATATGCCTTTTGCCAGCAGCTGTTTGGACCTACAAGTTTGTTCTTAGCGTCTTCAAGGACTTGAACAGCCTTCTGGTCGCTGAACACTTCTATGGAGAACTCAGCATTGGATTTGATAGATCGAGAGGAAGAAGGGTTTGTGTATTCTCCAGAAGAAGAAGAAGAAGAAGAGAACCATCCCCAAGTGTGGCATTTTATTGGAGAATCTAAAAGAAGAAGCAATAGAAGCAGAAGAAAGCTTTTGTTGAAGCGATCCATTTTTCTTCTTGTATGTTAAATCTTCTTCTTCTCGAGGAGATGTGTTATTGATATACCCTACAGCGAGATAAGAATCAAACTGTTACGTTCTGAGAATCTGGAAACTTAGAGCGCAAGCTAAAGAAACTTTTTGAGTTTTTGTCAATAAAGTTAACAAATTAAAAAAGGATTATTAACAAAATAATCTGTGACACTAAAAAGGATAAAAATAAAACACATTAAATTCCTCGTTCGGGTTAAGAGAAACGTCTTTGAAAAATAAAAGGAAGGATCTGTATCTCCTTTCCTTTTCGTTTTCTATTTTTTGTGTGATTAATACATGCATCTTAGGTTGTATCAATCAAGTTAAACAACAAAAACAGATAGAAACAAGAAACACAAACACAGGAAAACTACAATCAATTCTTTTCTCAATCGAACAAGAAATTAACACTTAAAACCAAGAAAATACATTTCATGAAATGCCTAGATTCAGAGGATATTTGGGAGAAGAACAAAAGAAATTTTTAAAAAAATCTAAACATTGTCCTAGTACTTTGAATCGGAGAAGAATTTCTACGTTAATCATTCCACTCAATTCCATTACAGAGTGGCAAAACCAACAAACTATGTACAAAAATAAACACGATAATGCAATTTTATTTATCAACAAAAAAGTATAGTTTGTGTTTTTATCAAAAAAAAAAAATATATACGTATAGTTTGTTTACGTACAACTTTACATAAATTCAAACAAAAATTCTGACTTCATAACAAAATTTTCAGAAATAACTAAAGATTAGTAAGTACAAGATTAAGCAAGGCTTACTGAGACAAGATATACTACAGATCTTTTTGAGTCGGCGATTTGTAGGAAAATGCGTTATTTCGACAGGGAGACAGGATTAAAAACGTAACTGAAGTCGTTTGACAAAAAGAAAAGGAAACGTTTCGCGAACGTTTGGTTTATTTCCGGTTAAACTAGATTTTCGGTAATACAAATCATTTTCCGGTTCGGTCAAACTAAAATAGATTAGTCAACATTCAACAAAGAAATAGAGAGAAGGAACCTTTGTTTTCACGTGGGTGACAAGTTTCTACAACTGCAAATTGCTGTTGAAAGGATTATTTCAATGGAATTGTTTTACGATGGTGTTTGTTGTCACTGGAAGCAATTATGGGTGAGAGAGCAAATTCAAGAGAAAGCAAGTCAGTCTACGGCAACTTCGAACCAAATAGTCAATCCACTAAAAATGGTGAGATATATTATCGAAGAGTAAGTGGAAGTCATAAAAAATCGAAAGAAGAAGGATGATGTTGTCGAAAGTATTCGTAATTTATATTTTCAAACAATATATGTGGTATCAAAATATTTAGCTGAACTCATGTAAAAAACGACAACATATTGAAGAAGATGTAATTTCTTTGTTGTATGGTGATATATATCCATACAATTGTTGATAATTGGTTTTGTCAAATTTTATTTCTTATGACTAAATCAATAAATTGAATTCTAAACCAAAGAATAGATTTATATCTAAACTGGAACAAGGCCGATATAATACAACAAAGAGAAATAGTATTTATAATGTGACAAAGAATCAAAGATCGCAATTGTAGTCGGATGTTCTCATCATTTTACTTCCGTAATATGGTGTTTATTTATGAATTTATTTATTATCTGATTAATAAAATTAAATTGGAAAAAAAGAGAGAAGGAACCTTTGCAAAAAAGTTCTAATTCGTCTTCACGTCTTCTTCCTCCACTTTGAAGAATTTTTCGGCAAAACATCCGGCGAATATTTTTACTGCATCAATCACCGACGTTTGATTTCACATCTCCATCACCAACCACTCATCGACTCAGAAGCTGTGGCCGATCATACCTTCTTACCTCCCCTGGACTCCTCCTCAGAACAATCTCCCCGCTCGCTCCTGCGAAGACTACTTCGGGAACGGATTCACTCGTAGAGTTGACTTCCTCAAACCCAAAGTAAGAGGAGACGGAAGCTGGTTCCAATGCTGACGCTACAGAGCTCGATATGCGAGGGGAGGAACCTGAGGATGGTTCACGACTGGATCGTGATGTCGAGAGGAGGTGGGAAGATAGAGGAAGTCATGGGGAGGAATGAGGAGGTGGAGCTTCCTGAGTTTCGAGAAGGCGCGTTCGAGGTGGCGGGAGATGTTTCATTCAAAAGAAACCGCCGTGTTGGCGTGGTTTCGCGGCGGTTAGTGGACGAGGAGATGCTAAATGAGTATGTTCAAGAAGGTGGTATTGATAGGCATACGATTAGGGATTTGGTAGCTTCGATTAGTGTTCTTGGCACTGAAGATTTCGTTTGTGGAGAGGTTTCGTGCTTCTTACCGTTCATATGAGTTTTTTTTTAAATGTAATGTTCTTGTTGAGTGATGTGTGGTTTAGTTTTTGCTTGGCTTCAGTGGGTGGAAGAACCAAACTCTGCTTGTCACTCGATTCGAGTATGCAAATATGTTCCATACGGTGATGGATTGGTACAGCGGTTATGTTTCTTCTAGAGTCACCGGTTTGCCTAACCGGCCACACATTGTTTTCATCGATGGACATTGCACTGTATGCTTACTTGTTCATATTCAGTTTCATTTGCGTAAAGCATCTTTAACTTCTAGTCTACGGTTAGTTTTGTTGGAACTATTTTTTAGACATTATGAATAGTGTATTCGTATGTCAAAAATGAGTTTTATTTGAATGAGAAATGGAGATGTAATATGTGTGATTTGAGAAACTTTTATAAAGTAACAAATATACATATTAGATATTTGGATTTGGATTTTGATTTTGTTAGTTGGACTTCATGTTCATTAACATAATCTTATAAACCAATTATATGTTGATCTTTTATATTGATAAAATATAAAAAAGAAATCCATTTTAAAAATTATTATTTAGTTTGAATTGGTCAAATAATAATAATTTTACTATTTAATTTCTTGGTCAAAATGTGGAATAAATTCACATATTAATTGATAAGAATTAAGAGACTCCATTAGTGCACATTGGAGGTTTCTTTTTTGTTGTAAAATGAAATATGTGCTTCTCATTGTTTTTCTATAAAAGGCTTGTAAGCATTATAGAAAATACATACACAAAAATGAAAGAAAATTGAAAGAAAATTCACATTCCCTCATATAAATATTTTAGAGTCTTTTTTCTGTTTGAGTCTGAGAGTACATCATAAAACTAGATTCGTTAGGCTTCTGATAGAGTGATGCACATCAGAAGATTTGTGCAGTTGTATCCTGGGAATCTGAGCGCTATTAAACCGTCGCACTACAGGGCATTTAAAGATTTAAGGAGAGAGATTAACTATCTCGACTCTGCAATTCCTCATTATTTGTTTGGTTTGGTATTGTAATTTTGATTTATGTTCTTATTATTTTCACAAATATCAGTTGTTCCCGTTGTAGTAAAATAAGGTTCCTACAAGTTTTAGGGTTTGATTTGCCTGTGTTTTATGGTTTTGTGATACTCTTTTTGAAGACGCAGCTAGAAGAAACATGGACAGCTTTGTTTTCCGGGATCAGGTACGCTAAAAATTTCAGTAAATCGGTTTGTTTTCGTCACGCGGTTCTTTCACCATTGGGATACGAAACCGCTCTTTTCGAGGGCTTGTCTGAAGAGATTGACTGCAATGGAGAATCAGCTCAGAGTCTTTGGCTAAACCCCGACAATAAAAAAACTGCCAGGCTCTTAGAATTTGGTGAAATGATCAGATCAGCTTTCGGGTTTCCTGTAAATCCGCTCATCAGAAAAACCTCTAACATCTTCTCCTCTTCACAACGTTCTCTTTGTCCGCCGTGAAGATTACTTAGTACACCCTCGTCATGGCGGTAAATTCCAGTCTCAGCTTATAAATGAGGAAGAAGTGTTTGAGTCGTTGCACCAGTGGGTTCCTTCTGGCTCCAATGGTTTGACGAAATGTGGGATTAACCTTCTGAATGGATGGTTTGCTTACATGTCGATGAAAGATCAAGTACGAGCCATCCAAGAGGCGTCAGTGATCAGGAGCTCATGGGGCGGGACTGACTCACGTTGTATCTGCGACTCCAAACACAAGGATATTTGTGATTATAAGCGTCGAGTTTCAGAGACCTCATTTCAAGCTTATAGCAAAGTGGAAAGGTTTGGAGTATCATGCGATGCATCTGGCTAATTCACGGACTGATCCAACGGCTGTGATCCCTTATATATTAAAGGCATTGTTTTGAAACCCGACCCAGACCCACGGTTGAACCGGTAAACCCGGTGACCCAGAAAAAATCCGGTTTGGGTTTATAAAAAATCCAAAATTTAAAAACCCACAAAATTCCACAAAAAGCCACTAAAACCCAAAACCCGATCCCTGGTTGAACCACCGGTTGAACCAACATATAAATTCTATTTTTTTAGTTTTTAATTATATTTTACATTTTGTTTTATATTCTAAATATTCAATTAAGAAGATAGGTTTTCACTTTTCAGTTTTATATTTGTGATTTTTAGATTTTGATGAAGATTTCACTATGACACCTGAAAAAAATTAAGTAAACGATGGTAGAGAAAATCAAAATTAGTTGATGTGATTTGGTGTTATTCTATTTTTGTTATTGAGAATTTATTGTAATGATATTTTTTTTTTGATTTTGAGTTTATTTTATTATTCAGGTTAGATATTTAAATATTTGTTTTCATTTAAACTTTCTAATTGTTAAACTAATGTTAAGCTTTCTAAATGTTTTTTAAACATAAAATATATGCATATCCAAACCATTATTTTATGTTTTTTTTAACTAGAAAATTTTAAAATTTTATTTTCTTTATTTTTATTTTCATAACTAATATATTGTTATATAATAAAATTAATTAATTTATTAACCCACAGTTCACACGCGGTCGATCCAGTGCCTAGTAACCCGATAAGTCATCCGGTTCAGTGTCCGGGTCGGGTTTAAAAACATTGATTAAGGGAAAAGCATTCTAAAAAATGTATTCACACTATAATGGG